TGACTCTTGCAAAAAACGAGCGCCAAAGCATAAATAGCTTTAAAGTAATGGTGAATTAGGCAGAGGCTCTTGAAAACTGTGTTCGGCCACCTTAAGGCAGTCACGCCTCACTCGATACGCGTACTTAAATCACTAATATTTGATCGATTCCTCGAATCGTGAGTTTGGGACACCTGTGATCAGTGCAGGGCAATACAGCGATGGCTGATGTGAAATTAAAATTTGTTGTTATTAAAAGGATCCAGGATCTGAGCGTCGGAAAATGAATTTTAGGCAGTTGTTAATTTGGTTAGTCAAGCAGTCAGTCTGTTTGTCAGGTGGCTTGTAACTGGGTAGTTGAGCGGGTGAATAAGTTACCAATTGATAAAATTAGGCTAGAAGCTGTAAAACGTACGTTTTATCACAAGGTTGCCATTATTTTAAATTCTTATTTAATTTTTTTATTTTTTTAGTATTTTAAGCAGTTTTTAAATTTCCCGTTTTATTTATTTTAATATATTCATTTCATCTTTGTTTTATTTTACAGGGCCCACATTGATATCAGCTTTATAACTGATGTGGTTACCCTATATATATTTATAATTATTTTTACTATTATCATTATTATTATTATTATTATTATTATTATTTTTATTTTTGTTATTATTAATTTAGCACGTTGTGCCTAGTTTTATTTGGATTGTAGCTAAGTTAGTTTCTTTGAAAATAACCAGTAAGCAACATTTTGTAGGGATTCCTTTTCGCAGTTGAGCAATTGCTTCTTAAACGTAGCTTAGAACTTAGAACTTGATCGATTTCAACAAAATCTTAATCCCAGGACTCTGTCAAATTACATGATGTGGACCTTCGTACGTTCTGTTGTCCCTTACTTGTCACGTGACGTTCGGTCTGCATTATTGGAGTATCAAAAGGAGATCGAACGGAAGAATTCTGCCGCGACACGATGGCTGTCGTGTCTGAAGGACATTAATTCTTACTACCACGGACTTACATTTGCTCTGGGCTACATGTGGGTCTCGAAAGTTTTCGACACAGACGTGATACCACTCGTGAGTGAGAAACTTTATCTCTTCTAGATGTGTTTGATTTCTTATTGAAATAGCATGGCATGGAGTAAAGGGAATTGTGATTGCTGATTGGCAGTGAATCCGCGCTCAATTAATTGTTGTCCAACTAATTTATCAGGTCAGAATTTGATTTACCACTGTTCTGTTCACAGCACTTTCTTGCAAACTTCTTGCTCATATTGGCTTCAAACTGTTACAAAGTTTAGCACATTGGATTCTTGTGTTTGAAGGCTATATGTAGTGTAGTGTTTTCCCTGTGTCACTTGACCGTGAAAATTCAAAAATGAGTAACAACCAATCAGTGACAAGAAAACGAAGCTAAAATTCTTAACACACCACTGTATTTCTATTGACAATAAATGCTATTTTGCAGATACAAGAGATGATGACAACGATCAAGAAAACGTTTCGAGATGAAACGTCACGTCTCGAGTGGATAGATGATCAGACCCGACGAAAAATTCACGAAAAGGTTTGAATCAAAATTGACTGATTGTGACATTCCTTGTAAGATTGTTGTTACAGTCGTTCATTCGAATCCATCCAAATGGTACTGGTCACATGGTCTTGATGAGAACCAGTTCTAACTAACACAGGTGTAAGCAAAATTCAATGGGCATTAAAGGCAGATACTGCATCGCTCTCTTTTAACAGTATTTAAGTACAGTTGATGTAAACTTATTATAAACCTTCCTAGAAGTTTCCTTTTTTTATTTCAAGGAAGAAGCTATGAAAAGTAAGATTGGTTTTCCAAAGCTCTGTGCTAATGAAACACTGCTGAACGAGTATTATAAAGATGTAAGTCCCGTGATTGATGTAAACGTAAGATCTTTCTCCCCCTCCTCCTCCTCCTCCTCCTCCTCTTTCTCTTAGTCTTCTCCCTTTTTTTATTCTACCTCTCTTTTCTCCTTTTCTCCTTTTCTCCTTTTCTCCTTTTCTCCTTTTCTCTTTTTCTTCTTCTTCTTCGTCTTCTTCATCATCTTCTTCTTCTTCTTCTTGTTCTTGTTCTTTTTCTTCTTCTTCTTCTTCTTCTTCATTCTTTTACTCTTCAACTTCGATTTCCTTCTCCTTCTTCTTTTTCTTTTTCGTCTTGTTGCTTTTCTTCTTATTCTTTGTCTTCCTACTCGTCTTCCTCTTCGTATTCATCTTCATCTTCGTCATCGTGACGGTCTTCGTCTTTGTCTTCGTCTTCGTCTTCGTCTTCGTCTTCGTCTTCGTCTTCGTCTTCGTCTTCGTCTTCGTCTTCGTCTTTGTCTTCGTCTTCCGAGGCGCATGTTGTTTTACATCCAGCATTCCAACCATTGGATTTGTTTACAGATCAATGTTCGCTTCATTTCATTTCATTTTAGGTAAACACCAGCCGCAACAGTTACCTCCTGAATGCACTGGGAGTGATGAGTTGGCAAACAAGGTCTTCTTTCTCAAAATTTAAGAGTCCGGTCGACAAAGAACAGTGAGTACAACCAGTACACGCCTCAGAGCATGTCTGAGCGTTCACAAGCTCGGGTGATGGCTGGTAGAGGAACGCAAGGCTTGAGCCAGCTGACAATAGTGGAAAGCTTTCGCGCAGTTTTAACTTAAGTCGCTCTTAACAAAGCTGTCCTCACCACTTCAACAATACTTTTAAAACTATTTACACAGTTCTAAATATTTACACTCGGGGAACAGGGATGGCGCAGTGGTGAGAGCGCTCACCACCTACCAATGTGGCCCGGCTTCGATTCCAGCCCGGCGCCATATGGGGGTTCAGTTTGTTGTTGGCTCTCCGTCCACAAAAATTAACATCTCCAAATTCCAATTGGACCAGGATAGAAGACTTGCATGAAAACCAGCTAAGGCTGGTGTGGCTTCCTCTCTAAATATTGTAGATTTGTTTATTCTATTTTATTTCTTCTTTTTTCCGTTACAGGTGGCATCTTGGACCTCAGCTGGTGGAAGCATATTACTTACCTAACAGAAACGAAATAAGTAAGAAAAAAAATGATAATAAAGTGACTAGTTAACTACCTATATGGGAACTAATCAATCCTACTGGTTTACGAGATGTTTGTTGGATACCTGTTTGCAGCATATTGGTGTAAAGAGAACTAGATGGCTGAAGACTATGCTGTCAGATTCCCTGGGAATACGCAATTTGCTGGGTTCGCTCTCTAAAAACATATATCAGTTTGTACTTCCTATAGCAGTCTTCATCCTATATGTCAGTTGCTTTGGTCTCTTTTTCACTGTGCTATTTTTATAGAATATCTCAACCGTAAAATCTTGAAGCGGATTTTGTTTCGTTTGAGATATTAATCTAACTGGGCACACAGTTTCTGCATCTTGAAACATGGATGCACGTGGAAATTTTGCCTTATGGCTGTAGCAAACTGCCTAGAGAGCTTAGTACTCCGCACTATATTTTCAGTTTCCAGCGTTCTATCGAAATTGACTTACTTAATTATTTTAGTGGATCTTGTCACTTAACACTACTCACGGTAAACTTCAGTATAAAAATCTAAATGTCACATAATGCGTTCGTTTATTCTGGTAGACATCCTGGCGGGAATTTTGCAGCCTCCACTTTTTTACGGAAGAAATGCACCAAGGTATTGTGGATCAAAGTATAATTTCTTCATTGTTTGGACACGCTTGCGGATCGAGTGGCGAGTTACAGTTCTTAAAAGCCACTTATGTAAATAATAACACAGATAAGTGCATCTAAAAAATCTTTCCTTAAATACAAGTATGTGGAAAAGATGGTCAAAAAATAAGGTCTGTAAGAAATTTATGGCTAATTAACAAGCATCTTTATTTAACCATTATAAAAACTTTTTGGTATTTTCCCGTTCTTCATTTGAACCTACATTTTTCTGTCATATTTTCAGAGCGGTGAACTTTGGAGCAATGGGAATGGCCCTTGCACATGAGCTTTCCCACGGATTCGACGCACGCGGTCAGTAAAAATCCATCTTAAATTTCAAACGATCACCGCATCACTGTAAAGCTTGATTTGCTAAGCAAGCCTCCTACGAAATTGTCAAATCAGCAACGCATGTACAGTTCAAAGGGGTAGACCCGAGTGAAGTTATTGCAAAGTCTATATCAATCGAAGACCACAATTTTCTAGGAAAGGAGCAGTTTCTAATGTATGTTAATGTATGTCACCGGGGTATTCCTTAACTGGTTAATTATAACCCTATTCAGCCTACGAGGAGGACGGGGGTGGTGAAAAGTTCTCGCTCAGTTTAGACCCGAGTGAAGTTATTGGAAAGTCCATATCAATCGAAGACCACAATTTTCTAGGAAAGGAGTAGTTTCTTATAAATGTTAATGTATGTAACCCGGGTATTCCTTGACTGGTTAATTATAACCCTATTCAGCCTACGAGGAGGACGGGGGTGGTGAAAAGTTCTCGCTCAGTTTTCAATAGTTCTAGCTCAGTTTTCGACTTTTATCTTAAATTAACCTGGATTTAAGTTTGTATGTCATGTCGTTGCAGTCATGTTTTTCCAAATTTGGAATCGCTTTGTTTTTATTAAGAAAATTCAACCTTATAATTGACAGTTATTGTTATATTTTAGGACTTTTAAACGTTAATGATTTCGATTCTATTGATCCGAATTCTAGTTTTGAGAGTGAAAATCAAAATAAGGCACTAAATAAAGCTATTTCTTTCACCAGGGAGATATTTTAACAAAGATGGGGAAATAATTGATGACTTGTGGAGCACAAGCACTTTAGAAGGGTTTGAAGAGAGATCCAAGTGCATTGTGGATCAGTACAACAAGTATCCCGTGGATGGTGGGGACGAAGGCCAAATATATGTAAGACACAATAAACCATCATAAATGAAGTAAAGAACGCAGACTAAAGTAATTGAAAAGATGTCGCCAGTAAAGAGATTTTTCTGTACAGCAATTAAGGTTTTCACTTTAAAAGTGACACCTTTTTAAAAACGCAGAATTATCAATTTTTTTTTAAATTTCCTCTCGAACAGATCGATGGGAAACTCACTCTGAGCGAAAACATTGCTGACAACGGTGGCATCAGACTCGCTTACTGGGTAAAGCGTTGTTTAATTACTACTCATATTGTTAACATGAAACGTTTATATGTCTCTTCTTGTTTCTTGTGACAAATTAACAGAACTGAGGAGAAATAATTGGACTGGAGGTAGTGTGGCCGAGTGGTTAGAGTGCCGGATTTGAAATCCGTAGGTCCCGGGTTCAAATCCCGTTCTGACCGCTAGGTGATATTGTTCTCGGTAGCCCGGTGAAACACCCTTTGAAAACATGGCTGCCGTAGGAACATTACAATGTATAATACTGAACATTTTAATGTCTGGTGACTTAAAAGTCACCTGACCAAACACTTGGCGCCCCAAATCTTCATCCCATAATTTTGAGGCCAAGCCATAAAGATGGGATCACTAGTGCTGGAATGTTTTTAGAAGTAACATAACTTTAAAATCCGAAGTAAGGAAACTTGCCAACCCGTCAAGGAAGCTTAAAAGACTTGGAGTTTGTCTGTAAGTCAATCACTCGTATCTTCCAAACAGGCGTACAAGGATTGGGTCAAGAACAATGGTCCAGAGACATTGCTACCTGGCCTCAACATGACAAACGAGCAGCTCTTGTTCGTCAGCTTTGCTCAGGTATGGGGACGAAACCTTCCTTTCAGTTATTGGGGAGTTTTTACGACGGCGACGCCGAGGACAACGTCGATTGAAAAATGAATTTATAGTTTACCAACGAATCTCGCGATACTTTTAAGTCATTTAGTTTGTTTCTCGAAACTGATTATGGAACACAGCGCAAAATTTGGAATATAAATCTCAAAAATTATGCTTTGTGGTTTTACGTTATCCACACAATGCAACGCACGGAATTTGGTCATTTCACGTTGTTGAACACGCATCAGATACCACACTACACCGGAGAAATTTGAAAACACAACAATCACAGGTCATTTTGGATTTTTGTTCGAGTGAAACACGGACAGGGGAATAACACAATTATTGTAACGTCATCGTTTTCGAAAAGCTTCGTGTGCAAAATGTTTTCCGTCCACACCGTGGATATAACGCAAAGCCGGAGTTTTCAAATTCCTCCGGGTTGAAGAGCATTTTCGAAAAGTACCGTTTTCGTGACGGATTAGTGTGGACGGTAGGCCTAACCGTTTGTCGAAATGCAAAAATTCAAAGACCATTTTAGCATATGCAATTTCTGCAATCTAAATTTGAACGCATGAAAACAATAATGGTATATGTTCAGAAATATGAAAGGCGGGAGTATGATCATAGTAAAATATATAGTTTTACGTTACAAGTTGTTGATTTTCTTGACTTATACAGCGTTTGCTTTCTTTGTAGGTGTGGTGTAGCGCGTTTACTCCGTCAGCTGCCTTTTTAAGGGCAAAGATGGACAATCATGCACTGGCCAATTACAGGTAGGACGACATCATTTATACTGCAGTGCTAATAAAATAGGTCCCTTTCTAAACAGAGCATTGCAATGTTCTGATCATGAAGGTTTTGCAAAACAGAACATTAACTACACTGGAAAGCAATCATCGGAGACCCAGAAACACAAATAGTAGATTCACCAAACGCGTGCAACCAAGTCGGAAAATTAAAGGACAAATTGACGGTTCGAAGCTTGTAAGACGTTCCCGCCAACGACCTCATCAATTGTACAAGTCAATTACACAATTCTAAAGCTCTGACGAAGACAAGTTCACAGTTCCATTAATTTAAGAGAATGTAAATTTTAACACCGACTGCTGTATTTCTTCAGGGTAATTGGACCTCTATCGAATATGAAAGAGTTTTCAGAGGCCTTCAACTGTCCCGCAGGTCGAGGGATGAATCCCGAGAAGAAGTGTAAAGTATGGTGAAGCAAGAACAACGGCGTACAACGCTACCTGCATTCACGCCAAGCTTTTCAGATGCGGCGTTTGAGCCAGTTGTAGTTACAGTTTTCTTAGTTAATTTTCTTTGAAAGGAAAAACGATATCAATTGTATGATAATGGTTCCATGCATTGACATAACTGTAGTTTTTATCTTGTTTTCTTTTGATTAATCTTTCCGTGGCACTGTTAAGTAACGAACGTAACATGTTTTCAGGCCTTCGTCACACTGTTGAGAAAATTTCCGTCCTTGTTTTTTATCGCCTTCTGACAGGAGAATTAGACAAACACACATTTGGGCGCGTAGTTCTCAGCTGACTAAAAAGGGAGAATGGTGTCCCAACTAATTGTGATGGAGACTAATCTGTAAATCGTTTATTTTACGGAGTATTAGTAGATTTTGTAGAATAGTCCTTGATAAATGACAAAACCTCGTTAGGAAGCAAGGATAGTAACGATAGTAAAACATAAAAAAGACCTATTTAACTTAGCGGCTCTTCGATTTACTCACAACCCACTGCAACTGGGTAAAAATCGTTGTGCAGCGTGAGACGGAGTTAATGAATTTTTTAAGTATTTCCCTAACTTAGAAGAAATTAGAACTAGATGGCAGTGCCGCTATATATAGGAATCGTATTTTGCACAAGAGAACACATGCGTTTAACCAACTGGTTTAGAAAATTAACACATGTAACAATCTGGCAAAATTATTTACCAGTCATTTAATGTCAATCATTTATGCTGTATAATCTTTTAAAGATTTAACCAACACTTCAGAGAGCTGAGTAAAATGATTTCTAATTTTTTTTTAACGTATGCTTCAGCAATTATTGTGGAATTTACATTTACGAAGTTTGGGATAAACGCCTAACATCTCTGGGATGAGTTGAACTAAACTGGGCTAGATCTCATTAGGAAAACGGCCCCATGAACAGGTCCTCCTAGTATCACCCGTGCTTTCTTTTCAAGATAAGAATTAATTGGTATGCTATCCTGGATGCTGAGGTCGAGAAAGAGAAGGTTCGACATTTCTACATAATTGCAGGTTTAAGTATTCATTTATGCAAAGTGCGGCGGGTATTTAGTTAGAAATAATGGCTTCCTCAACAAGATAATGTTTGGCTCTTCCCGCAGCAAATTATAAAGCTGTCAATCATCGCCCTTAATTCATTAGTCAAAACAATTGATGTGCTATTACCGTATTATAGAGAGCGCGGTAGCATGCCCTGCTGGACTCTGGATCTAACGGTCCGATCTGGGTCAATGCCCTGGCTGAGTCATTATGCTGTGTTCCCTAGCGAGACACATTGAAGAAAGAGGATGAAGGTAACGTAGTATCGAAGAATGAGAAGCTTTTTTAGTAAACGTGGAGTCTGAAAACCTAAGCCTGAAAGGAATTCGCACCTATTACATGAGTGATACCGGTCCAGTCCTCTACTAACCTAACCAGGAGCTGGTAATGTTGTGAGTTCGTAATATGGTCGCATATGATGAAGACATGCAAGTGAATAAATAAAATGCCTTATATTTGAACTGCAGGTGATAGATAAAATATATGAAAGATATTTGCAGTAATAGCTGTATGTACTCAACTTAGGCAGTTGTCAGAGTAAAGTAGAAAAAAAATTCAGGTTTGAACGGATTCGAACCCAGACCTCTGCGATGCCGGTGCGGTGCCCTACGAATAACGACTCCATACATGACAAGTGTTTTTATTACAGACAGCACGTTACCTTTTTTCAGAAATTTTCAGCTCTACAAAATACAAAATAAATGATTCACTTAAATTCTTATTAACAACAAATTTGGCTCATACAAAAAGGCAGCCTCATTACGATTTGTGCACTAAACAACAGTATTAAATTATTCGTTGCTACTATTAAAGTGAGCTTTATCTACATCCTCCAGAATGGGGAATGGGAGAGATGTGGGACCGGCCTAAACGTTGCTCCCTGACTAAGGATGACAATTACGAACACTTAAAGCAACGCCGCTAGAGAAAGCTGCGTAAGAAAGAAAGGTGAAGGCCACAATGAGAACTCTATGCTTGCTCACGCTGACTGATAGTATGCTTAGAACAAAGGTTGAATTACATTTCTAGCCAGAGTCAATCCCCAACCATGGTCGGTGTACATTTTGTTTTGCTTCTTCAATTTTTACAATTTTTAAATTTTTTTTTTTTGGGAGCGTACAACACGTTACTCGAATACCACAGATCGAAGAAACAGTATGAACCAGAGAAGCAACAAAGAAGGATTCGCCTTGATACCAGATCCCGACGGACTTTTTGGATGAGGAGACAGAGTGGACCCGAGACTCGGGTCACGTGTTGGAACACGAACGAAGACCGAGTCGGTATCAGGCTTCTTGCAGGCACTTTTTGCTGTCGCCAGGTTGCGATGAATGAAAGGACACGCTACGGCAGCATTAGGACTCTGAATGAAGAAAGAGATTTAGTGAAATTAAACCCTGAGCTTTTTTAAAATCTTAAAACAAGCGAATTAACAATGAAATGATAAACACATTTTAAGAATTGGCACAACTTTGACTGGCAATAGACGGATCAAAACCAATAGCAATTGAAGAATCACTCTTAACAAAATTTACAAGAGATTTAAGCAGTCTGTTTTCTCTCGAAAGTCAGCAGGGGTTATGAGGAGAACTACTCAGCCATATCGTCCTTTTGCGTTCGCGATGGTTAAGCACTGGTCTAAGTCACCCTTAGAGAAAAAAAATCGGCAGCCAGCAGTCTCTAAACCCAGTAACGTCACCGCGAAAGTGACCAATCAGTTTCAAGAACTAGAGACTTAACAAAATCGACTCTGTTGTTGACTCTGTTGCTTTTCTCCAGACGTCAGTCACCAACAGCGGCCATTTTCATTTCCACAAGACAATTACAGATCAGATAAACCAGAATTATTGCTGCTCTTTAATTTAACTTTGTCGTTGTTGTTATCTGGATTTATTTCTAACGTCTTCGATAAGCGTACATGATGTGTATATTAGAAACGGTAATCGAAAAAAACCCTTACATGACCGAGTGGGATTGTTATGGGATCCTACCAGCTTGTGAAACTTGTTAACTCACACATAATTCAAGTATAGTTAAGTACCGATACATGGCTGCCGGGGAAACGTTTAACCGATCGTTAAATCAGTGAGAATAATTGCAGATGAATGCGTGAACGGTTGCGATAGATACCTTGTAATAATGTAAAGCACAGGGACTGTACGACACACTGCACAGACAGGGCACGCAGATTGGCGCAGACAGAGACCCTTCTTTGGTTATACCGTCTGCGCATGACTTCTTTGAACACTGGAGAATAAAACAGAATCAATTCAATTCACTTGAAAGAACACAAAGCATGTTCTTGAGGGAGAGCAAAAAGGATGTGGAAACACTTTCCCTTATACAGTGATCTATTGGAAAGCATTCGAGTTATCTTCCCAAAAATAAGTCATGCTGTGTTCCACAAATCTTTTGAAATATGGGAAATAGAGAAAAAAATGCGCGTTTCTAGAGTGGTGTTCTAGGCAGTTTAAGCAAGCTAAAGAAATGGCGTCCCCATACAACGCTCTACAAATTTATGTGTAACACTTCTCCGAATAACGCGCGAATGAAAAACAGCACAGAATTAAATCTCAGCGAGGTTGTTTATATATCACTAATCTATTGTATCCCAGATTCTTGACTTTTTTATTGATTGGTTACGATTTTTATTGTTGTTGAAAAACAGCAATAGGCTAATTATCAAGTGAGTTACAACTCGTTATCTCTTTTTACGGGCGAAAAGAACTAAAAAAAGAACTTGAACGTGCTTTACATCGGGGCAGACTTCCAAAGCGAAATTCCTCAGCATTACTTACCGAGGTACATTTTATAGCGGAGTCCGGACAGTCTCCTCCATCAAGGACCACAAGGTACACATTAGTGTTAGGCACAGCCACCATAATATAGGAACCACATTTCAATGAACCTTGGACTTTACCACTGAAATAGAAAGGAATGAATAGGATAAGGAGTTAAACTAGTCGGGTCTCACCAAGTTCAAAAGTACTGATTATGAAGGTCAATAATTTACACTGTTATATGGCGGTAAGACTCCAAATTATGTTAGAAGTGAAGTTAGAAAAGAATATCAAACAGTAAAACGGTTTTTTATTTTTGGTGACGATGTGGGTCGTCCAGGGACATAAAGGCTTTGCAGACAGATTTCTTTAGCGTGCAGTAAAGTTCGGTTATTTGATACAAGTTTTTAATAAAGACCATTATTATAAGTAGTATTTCTACCGATATTTTGCAAAACAGTATGTAAGGTAGGAATAATTTTTTCCTAGTTTCCCAGTAAAATTAAAAAAGAAAACACCTACCCTGGTAGTGTATCCGTTATCTTGTAATTGGTGTACGTTTGGCCAAGCTGAAAGAAAACCAGACTATTTGATTAACATTCAAATAATAAACCTTAACTCAGCACTTAACACTCATTCCCTCTCAGCCTAATAAAACATATCTTATTGTTAGGAGAAAGCAGATGTTGATATTCTTTGGTTTTCTCTCACTTTACAAATGTCTCCTTGCTGGTCGTGACATGCACTGATATTTACCTCCAAGTCGTTACAAGCCAAGCTGGTGGAGATGATTCCTTTCTTCATCAAGTTCAACAGTAACTCTGGATGTTTGTACGCCAAATGTACGCGTTCTTTCGCAGTTCTACAGTCAAAGAAAAGTTGCAAATTCCTCATATTCCATGTACGATTACTCTTTACTTGCCTAAGTGTAAGGAACTGTTTTCACCGGCTGGAAAAAAAATTGCTAACTCTCCGACCGCATACCTTTCTTTTCTTCTACGGAAAACAACAACTTTTACGATCATAGGAAGTCATTATTATTTTTACTGAGAAAAGTTTTGCCATTGAGTCAACGGGCTACCTCGAAATCTCATCGACAGGATGGTCGAAAATTACGTTCTGCGAAACGTTTTTAATGAACCTAACACGATCAAGCTTCAAATTAGCGTTTCTTTATCTAAGCATAAACGTCCATGGGTGTGAAAATTTTGAACCTCTCTTCGAGTTAGTTATTTGCTCTTTTTCAAGTTCAGATAAAGATTGCAAAAACTCACCTGGGACTGGACATAAACTGCTTACTGTAAACCACATAACCATTTGGATCGATCAACATACACGACACTAGAAACAGAAAACACAGTTCAAATAATCTTTTTTGAGTCTCAAAAACGCGGGGCTAGGTACTTCTATTCTCAGTTTGCAAGTTATGGTACCGTGAAAAAATTCCCTTAAGCTGCTCTTGTTTAGTTCACTAACACAACCATTAGGCCTAATTGAAGAGGCCACGTTCGATATATCAATATTCTAACATGACTCTAAGGCTTACGGGATAAACTTCTATATTTAGTTTGTTTTCTTTGTATCCAATTGTCTTTTGAGAATTGAAAGACAAAAGAAGCTTAAAAAGTTTGCAATTTTCACATGAAAGTCTCGGAGCCATGTTAAAATATTGATATACCGAGCGTGGCCTATTGTATCTCTCGTGACTGGTCAAACCCATCAACACATATGGGTTGGTTTCGCCCTAACGAGTATCATTATAACCCAATATAGATTAATTTGTATTGTAGACTTTTTCCTAACTATGAATAAAATAGGGTTCTATTTTCAGCACAGCATAATTCCTGTGAAATCTTACCAGAATTCTTTTTGCAAATAGGTCCACTATCGACGACTATTTCGTGGATCTTAATCATTTTAAAATCAATGCCCATCACGGCTCGAACCTTGAAAATAAAACACGAAATACGTAAATGATCTTGTAACAGCAGCCAAGCGAAAGGTTTAAGGACGTTCGCGCTAATTGTTGCTGAGCATCCTCACTGTCCACGCAAATTCACTCACCACGTCATGCGTGAGAGCGCACGCTAAGTAATAAAATGAACAATGATAGGGCAGATGGCCATTGCTATAGCTTTGCCTGGATTTAACGATCTTGGACGTTCGGTGACCCCTACTTTTCTTTCCAGAAACAGATTTTTTTTACAATTATCTCCACATTATCCAAAAATGAACAAAAAATCAAAGTGAGAAGTTAAAAAAATTTCAAGATTTCTGTCCACGGGACGTCGAATCCTGCCATCTTGCGGGTGCAAGGCGCGTGAAACCATGGCCGCTAAATGCGAACTTTTTCTTTTAGGAACCTCACCAGTTGAATTAATGCCCTTAATCCACTTAAACAATATTTGGCAGAAAACATTTCACTTCAAAGGTCTAATTGCAATATTTTTGGGCTTACAGACACTGTGGCCCTACTCGCTAACGAAGCCCGATTTTTTCAGATTTAGGGTGTTCTTCCGGACATGTTCTCTCCAAAACGAAGTCGGTGACCTCCCCCCCCTTTTTTTTTTCATATTTCTGACATAACTAACTCATCATCTTACAGTGGTAAAAGTCTCAGAAAAAAATCAATGTTGAAAAATATTCGCGCGAACGTCCTTAAATAAATGAGCAAAACAACAGCTTTGTACCTGCGTTATACATCTCGGTACATTTCTTAGATGTCTTCTGCCTAACAAAAGCGAACTAAACATGTAGAAGGATGTTTATCCATAAAAATCGCTTGATATTTTAAAAAAATATATTTACAAGACCAAAAATGTTTAAAAATGGTTACAAATATTACACAAAATGTTTTCGACATAATGTCATCTTCAGGGTAAGTCTCCTTTATAGACCACATGTGATCTATGAGTGTAGACGTGACCACATGTTTTCACACGTGGTCTATAAAGGAGACTTTTCTTGCGGTGACAGCTACTCGGTGGGACCACGAGGAATGTGCAGGTGCGACTGAATTGTAAAACATTCAAACACATGCCATGACTCTGAACCTATGTCTGAGAACACTTTGCTTTCTTTTAGATGGCGCATACTCTGTAGGGCCCAATCTTTTCACAAGCGAAGAATCCTAGAAGGCCTAATGATCCAACAATGGCAACACAGCTTGAACAAACAAATTCCCTATTACATGGCGAAACTGCTCCTATTGGGAATTACCTAACGGTTATAAATTATACGAGTAGCGGACGGCTTTTTTACCCTGAAGATGACATTATGTCGAAAACGTTTGGTGTTTTATTTTTTTCACCGTTTTAGACCTTTTTAAACATTTTTAGTGTTGTAAATATTTTGTCAGAGGGTATCTTGTATACTAGGGAAAGTTCTTCCTCATGTCTTACTCACCATAGAATCACTGCTAATTGTTTGACTGGTAGTGACCACCACTCCAGCGCCGCCATTATCCTACACGATAACAAGAACAAATTATATTAGCTACAAGTAGGTAAGGTTTTATTTTGATCTTACTTTTTGGTCTATCTCATTGGATAAGTCTGTTTGTGCCTTGGAAGATCTTAGTTTAAATTGTAAGCATTACTTACCAAGTAAGGAACTGAAAATGTCACTTTTCCTGGATACGATTTGGCCGCGTAATACCAAGGCCGAGTGGTTGGGTCATATCTGAAGAAGATAAAATTCGCGGCAACAAAGAGTGAAACTATAGAAAAGAAGTTACTAAGAGTTGCTATTAACACAACTGTTAAGCAGCCCTAACAGTTCGCTGGTGATGCCTATTTGTATACCCTGAGCGGAGAAGGGACACTGGGAGAACACGATAACCGTTGGCAAGGATAGAAAACCGAAACGTTTGATCCAGAGTCCAACGCAAAAATCACAAGACTACCACGCCTCCCACAACTGGGGAGGAGGGGGCGATAATTTAACGTGCCTCATACGACTTCCACTCTGCAGGACATGTTTTATACAAAGACTGTGAAACGACCATAAGCTCACAGGCAAGTGCGTAACGTGGGTCCAAAAAGGCAGAAACAGTTATCCATCGATTCTAAGATCAGGGAGGCCGTTTTATACATGAATGAGGTCAAATTACTTGCGTTTGCCTGAAAAAAATTCCCTGCTGACCTGTTATTGTAGGTTTGTCTGCCCGGATACTGTCTCATTGCTCCAGAGTTTGTGGCGATGTACCGCCATGCTGCACTGCTACCAAGAACACGCATAGGATTCCTGTTCCAACTGAAATCAAAGAAAGCCTTTAAAAAATACACATACAAACAAACACGCGCATATGTTATATTAATGCTTAAGACTCGAGATTTCTCTAGACTCAAGTCGATCCCGACAGAGGTAATGACATAGCTCTTCAGCGGATTCAATTTGAATCTAATTCCCACCAGGAATAAGGTGTTTCAAGAAACTGTAGCAAACCCAATGCATGTGTCGACCTTATAATCAGTAAATAGTGCTTTACCCGATTGGAATGCCTTGCCTATGGACATAAAAAAGCTTCCTTTTAACTCTTTAATGTCGTTTCTTGATAAGTTTAAATTTTAAAAGTGATTTTCAATTTTTACTTCCATTTTTTATCAGTGATTGGATTTGATTGTGATTAGTTTTTAATTTTTTTACTCTATTTTACCTTTATTACTGAGGACCTCCCTGAAAACCACGCAATGTGACAGGAGCTTCCTCCATAAAGATTATTTACTTTTATTATTATTATTATTATTATTATTATTATTATTATTGAAATAGGTCCTAATAGTTTATTTCTTTTATTTACTTTTACCTTGTAATATACCGATATTGACGTTGAAACCCAGGAGGGAGCCATTATGTAAACACTGTTGAAATAGGTTTTAATAGTTTATTTCTTTTACTTACTTTTACCTTGTACATACCAATTTGTATGGAATATGTTAATTAATGTTATGATGATGATAGTAGTATTAGTATTAGTTGTAGTAACCATGATATCATGATTAGATACGGAAACATGTTTTACAGGTTTAACAGACA